TTAATGTAGAAATATGTATCGTCCTGGATTTAAAAAGTTAAATGTTATTTTACTAGAGGGTCGTAGCGGGAGAGACTCCAAGGGCGGCAACGCACTTGTTACTTTTGAGTTGCAGGGGTCCATGGGCGGCGGTAGTTGCTTACCATCAGGTGACCCGTCTCCTCGTCTGCCCCCTTATAGCATAAACAAAAACTATAACCTTATTCAAAACTTGACCTAATAAATGAATTTCATGTTGTTACATCTCTAAACTTTATTTAAAAGACGCCTATGATAAATTTTTGAAATATTCACTACTTAACACAGAAGAGAAACATGAAGAAAGGTAATTAAAAGCTGGGTGAGGGAAAGGTTCATAAATTGTTAGGAACATTAATAAAGGTTATAAATTAATCTAACGGAAAGAACCTTATGACTCTTTGTATGTTGTAGATTTTTGGGGGGAATTAACGACCATTTCGATTCTCTGTTTTGACCGATATTAATCAAAAGAGGAGGGCTCAAATCAGTACTTGTATTTTTTATGTGTGTAACGCAATTTCTGTGTCAAATTATGGCCGATTTTTAAAATTCACGGCTCGCTGGTCATAATCACCTCGCCTGGTCGAAGGATCCCTCTTTGTTTTAGAGGTACATAACAAAAATACTCAACAATTTTCATATGAACCTATTTCCTTACACCAATAGACTGCACGGATGGCGTAGTGGTTTAAGCGGTCGCCACGCCTCTTCCTACTACGCCTAGAGTTGTGGGTTCAAACCCCACATGGGACGACACTTTGTGTGATCCACAAATTGTCGTTCTGAGTCTGGGTGTTCTTTGTGTCCGTTTCATGTATGTTTGTAAAGTCCCCCGCGACACAGGATATATTCCTAATGCGGGCGTTGTCTTTTATAAAGAAAAGTAAAGAAAGAAAAGTTATTTTAATATAATTATTTTCTTTACTATCATTTAGTTTAGGGGGACCCGCGACACAGGATGTATTCCTAATGCAGGAGTTGTCTTTAAAAAAAACAAATACTCGTTTTAGGGACATTGGTTAAAAAATTTAACTAGAAATTCGTAAATCTGTCAGGCCTGAGACGGAACATGAAGATTGACACTTTAATTAAAAACCGCGGATGCGAGCGGTGACGTAGGAAGTTGAAAATATTTGTCCATTCACTAGAATTGCAAACTGGATCGGATGCAGTACTTTATTGAAATAACGATGATAATATTAATTGGTGCACCAGTTCGGTAACGAATTCATTAATGGACTATATATAGGTATATTCTATATTTATCACTTAGTTCTTGCGTCATGTTGAAGCCTGTATAGATAGTTCAACTCAGTTGTGCGCGCGGCCCTATGTGTGCGTGGGCTTGTAAATATACAACTTTCATTCGTGTGGCAGTCGTCGTCCGACTGCCGCGTCACTGCCACACGAATGAAAGTTGTATATTGTTTATAATTTTTTGTTGGAACAACGATAGACGCGTACTGACTGGGCGAGGGATGGGCGGCGGGCGGTCACTTAACGAGTCTTTTAGGACGATATTCGTTTGTGTAAGTAAATCTTTGGTTGCTTTTTAATGAGTGAGTAGGGTTTCCAAAGATCTAACACCCTTTCTGATTCTAGGGGAAGGGAAGCACTCAAAAGGTGGCAAAGCACTTGTGTCTCTTCAGTTGCAGGCGTCAATGGAGGACGGTAGTAAATTACCATTAGGTGACCCGTCTGTTTGTTTGCTACCTATATCCTGAAAAATATAGGTAGAATGTTTTTCTTTGTAAATTAAAGGCGATCATTTTACTAAAGTAAAATTCCACCCTACAAATAATCGCATTGCAAGACTCAGAAGAGGTACTTTTTTTTTGGGGGTGGAAAATCTCTTTGGATGTCCGGCTCCTTGGGGACGCAGGAGCCCGGAGTATGTGGTGTTTCCACTAAAAACCAAGCCAACGGCCGGAGTCACTCCTAGGAGGACCCGGACCATGTTATTTCAGGTCTCCCCTGGATCGACGCCGCGCCTAGTAAGGCTCTATCCCGGGGAAGCCACGAGCTTCCCCCGCCTATCTTCAAAATCATTATAATTTGGCGGCCCGATCGCATTTTTACGACCAAGCCGCCATCCTATCGCCACCGCAGCAGTTAGTCCGCAACCAGAGGTCCAAAATATCTGGCAGTCTGAGGGAACAGGTACTTTTTTCTCAAAGTTACGCCTTTTTATAAAAATGATAGTAAGATAAATATATTATTATAAGAAATTAAAGCCATGTGAAATAAATAAAGGCGGTCATATTACTAAAGTAAATTTCTACCCTACAAATGACCGCATTAGAACAATCAGATTTTTTTTTGCAAAAGTAGGACTGCCCTAACTTATGCCAATTTATAAATACGATAGGTAAAAAAAAAAACATTTCATATACATACAATACACAGAGGATAACTGATACTGTTGTGGTCTAGATTGACTAGTCAGCTTGGATTTCAACATTATTTAGAGCCCACATTTTTGGTGCTAAGTTCAAACATACATTTAACAACTAGGTACATTTTAACATGTAGGGAATGGAATGGCCGGCCTGATTGCATTAAGATGCGATCGGGCCGCCATGCCGCGATTGAAGGGGGAAGTGTTCTTCCCTGGGATAGGGCCTGATTAGGCTTGTTGTCAATTTGGGGAGGACCTGAAATAACATGGTCCGGGTCCTCCTCGGGTCGTAGGAGACCTAAGGCCGGCCGTCGGGGTGGTTTTTAGTGGAATCACCACATACTCCTGGCTCCTGAATCCCCGAGGAGCCGGAGATCCGAAGGGATTTTCCACCCCGTCAAAAAAAAAAAGGTACATTTTAACATATAGGTTTTATTCCCACTGCCGTAATTGTATGTCTTCAACATATCACTTAAAAAACTAATCAAAAGTCTTTAATAGTCCACTGCTCTATACAGGTATCTTCATAGAAACGGACAGACGGGTTCCGCTGTTAGTTGTCCTGCGTAGTTTGTTCCCTTAGTCTGCTCTTACGACACCCACGGGATGAATAAGGGTACTGACACTACGTATTCTTAACCCGTCACTACACGAATAAAAGAACTGAAAATACCTAACCAGAACAGGTCAGGGCCGGTCGTCTGAATATCCGAGTTGTTATGTAATCTCAATTGTTACACAAAATCCCAGTTACGTATTTATAATTATAACGTAATTATTCGCGTTTGCATCGAGCGAGCGATACGAGCGGCAAACGCTGTTTATATTCTTTATTGCACTCAATCGACTAATACCTACTGTCGTAATTTTAACTAAACTGAAATAAATAGCTTCTTTGAAACCCAAACGATTATAATTATGAAAATAAACGAAACATAGAACCGCATTGCGAGTGTAATTGAATTTACAGCACTTACATACATTAGAGAGAAGGAAAACTTGACACAAACCCTATACCAACCCGTCTGGCCAGCGTGGTATAGTAGGCCAAAACCTCACAGCCTTTAATAGTCCAGCAGTGGACTATTAAAGGCTGTTGATGATGACGATGATTACATGCACTTATTGCTGACAACTTTACGAAGCAACTTTGCATAATTTTACCAACTCAAAAGCCATCGTTTCTTTGTTCTGCATGTACGCGTAGGACAGGTAAAATACGGAACCCGAAACAGAAATGTATTTACGATATTATTATTTTCATTCTTTTTCTACCTATCTCATCTTATTGGAATAGAGTCGGTCCTATAACTGTTTATGACGTGTTTTTTATATTCCATGGTTCCTTACAAGAGATTGTCTTGTGTGGATTTTTTTTTAAATTTATTTAGTAAAGGTTCACCAACAACTGTTTAACTTTTACATAAATCCGTTAACTAAAACATGGTCATATATTTAATAACAATGCAACAGCCATTTATATGTGAATACTACTTATGCTTCAAAAATGGATAAAACTCAAAAGTAAAACAATGAATGAAAAAATCTAACAAGTAACATTATTTTTTTCATTTTACATTTATTGCGTCATAATAAATCAATAAGCACGAACTTTTTCTTACAAATTGTATCGAAATGTAAGTTAGTGAGATCGCAACACAGTATGTCAAGACACCTTATAATCGGACATGCTAGTTTAGTTAATCTAACATTTAGAGCTCATATTTACAAATGTTTCAGTAAAATTCTTGTTTAAAAATTTCACATAGTTTTCAAGAAATCATATTTTTGATTAATTAATTTACTCATCATAATCACTCAAACGGAAAAAAACATGTTATTTAAAAACTAATAGTATTAAACTCAAAAACTCTACACTATTTCATAAACCCATTAGAAATACACGTAATAAGCGTTTAATATGCTTCGTAAATACTTGTATTTAATCAGGATATTTTTTTTCTCGTTATTTCAGTTTTAATTTTTATACTCAATTTCACCATGACATATGAAAACTATTTTAGTTGATATGTATTCTGGTAATGTATAGAAAATTGGCTTTAAATTCTGAGGTATAGTTTTTGAGTTTAATTCAATTAGTTCTTTATAATAAATTTAAAAAAAAACCTTTTGAAATGAGTAAATTAAATAATTTTAAATTTTTATTTCTAGAAAACTACGTGGAATTTGCAAACAGGAGCTTTACTATAATATTTGTAAAAATGAGCCCTAAACATTTTCTCTGTCTGTATTTGTTTTTATGTTTGTTACGTAATTGTTTAGCGATTTTCAAAATTCTTTTTGTAATCGCAATGGTATGCTCCCGATGTGGTCCCATTACCACCGACTTCAAACAGACTAAAAGGGACTATTGCTATTAAAAAGTTCCCTGTTATATTAAGGGTACTTATTGTAATTTTTTTAATTAGATTTGTAATTTTTAATTAAATTTATAATTTAATTACTTTTTAAGTTAGTGCTCTTTGTCAGTATTGTTTGAGTCATTGTTTGATTTATTGTTCTGTTCATTATACATGTATTAAGGGATAGTAGGGTTAAGAATGAAAACAAATATATTATTCTATTCTTTATGTCTAGATTCAACTATTAGTTTGTATCCATCCGCGGGGCGTAGTATGAAGGCTCTTGGGGACAGTCGAGTTGATTCCACAAGAGCTTTCGTCTTGTACATGCGAAGAAATTTCGTTAAAAACACCTTGGCAGCTAAAACTGCGAAACGGGAACCTGAGGAATAAAAAAAAATTAAATGGTTTCAAATATAATAATATATTTTAAATTTAGAATGTTGACATTCTAAACAAGAAATTTGTGAAGAAACAATATACAGTTGGTTCAGAAAGGTGTGCTCATAACTTTACCCGACTGCGCAAGAAAGAGGGTTATGTTATTCGCGTGTATGTACATATGTAACTATGTATATTTATTTGGCACACTCTGAAGCCAAAATGGCTAGAAGGTTTTGTCTTTTGAGGCGTCGTTAGATTCGGCCTAATTGTGAAAGTGACACTAGGTATTTGACACTAGAACAACATAACATTATAAATGTAGTGTATTAGTACAAAACTTTGTAACATTATAAATATTAAAAAGCCGGTTTGTAAATTATTAAACCAACGAAAAAACATCCTTTACATCGGTTTTTCTTGAGGCAGATATTACGGCCTCATAAAAATTATTTGTACCGAAGCATAACTCTTCCACGGTACTTTTTAGAATACTAACAATGTGTATGCGTGTTTGTTCGTGTCCAATCTTGCAACTGAACTTAATAATACTAATAATAATATTAACAATATTCTACACAACGCCATCTAGTCCCAAACTAAGCAGAGCTTGTACTATGGGTACTAGACAACTGATTTATATGAGTATGTACTTTATGTAGTATACATCTTTATATATATAATTCTTCTGTGAGTGTGTATGTCACTGAACTTCTCTCAAACGACTGGACCGATTTTGATGAAATTTTTTGTGTGTGTTCAAGGGGATCTGGGAATGGTTTAGATTCACAATTTTGTCCGCTGGACAATGTTTTTTTAATTAATTTTTAATTTATTAGTAGTTGTTGATTTTGGAATGTTTTACATTGGATCAGACAGACGGCGCTACCATCGCAGTGTCAAATTTGACAGGACAACGTCTGTCGGGTCCGCTATATATATATATATATATATTGTAAATAAATACATATTATATAACAGTTTTTTAATACAGAAATCTATTAGTATGAGAAATAAAACAAAAGACATATGAGTTCCAACAAAACCACAGTAAACAAGAAACCAATAACCTCACCGATACAATGCCTGGGCCCGTTTCCGAAAGGCATGTAGGTATACGGCACGATGTTTGCTTTACGCTCTTTTGAGAATCTCTCAGGCTCGAATATATTAGGTTCGGGCCAGTAGGTAGCATCACGGTGGATGGAGTATATTGGCAACCATACGTGTATACCAGCTGGGGCCTGTGGGCAGACAAACACATGCTTCAAGCAACTTAAAATTATTATTAGAATAAAGGCATATGGTTTTATTTCGAAGATGAATAGTTTTCAATAATGAGTCATCATTATTATCATCAACAGCCCTTAACAGTCCACTGCTGGACTTAGGCCTCTCCTTAAAATGGAGGTTTTGGTCTACTAATGAGTATGGTGAGTAAAGCAACAGGTCATGTCGTTCCTTGACAGATGGCAATTGGGAGTCCAAGATTTTCTGATATAGAATACGAAATTGATTAGGATTATAGTTATATCTAAGGTTGATATCTAGATGATAGGAAAAATATATTATATGAAGGTATAAAACTTTATAATGAAATACCTGATGATATTACTAAAAGTGATAGCTTGTTTAAATTTGAAAAAAATTTTGGAGATTACATTAGGATAAAGTACTGACTCTAATAAAGTTGTCTGTATATCTTTAGTTTTATACTACTGTAATAGTGTATTGTGATCACAGAGATACTTAACTAATTTATTGTGTTGTTACATTTTCTCATTATGTAAGTGAACTGTATAGTTCTTTTTATGAGAAATAAATGTCTCTAAACCGATACGAGAAGCGAGGGAAGGACCGGGGGATGGTCATTGTTGACGGGATCGGTGTTGCCAGTATTTATACAAATAATCTCTTACTATCGGAGGGACTTTTTGCGGTCTGCGAAAAATATGCTTCTAAAGATCATCTGATGTACGAGTATAACTTAAAAACCTCTTTTTTCCGTAATTTTAATGTAATTTAATAAACTTTTTAATGTAATTTAATTGTCCGTGTGGTGACGGATAAAGAATACGGATTGTCACCACCCCCATTCATCTCGTGGGTGTCGTAACAGCCGACTAAAGTAGTAAACTATGCAGGACAACAAAACTGCAAAGAGAAGGAAAACTTGACACAAACCCTTTTTTTTTTTTTTTTTTTAACGTGTGGAAATCCCCTCGGACCGTCACCCCTCCGGGGTTTGCGGCGGGGTGGTGTGTCGGACTCGGACCGACTAAAACCACACGGTGTGCCACTCTGCGCCTGTAACAGGAGGGATCCGGGAACAGCTGTTGTTAAGACATCCGGACCCCTCCTAGCGCCAGCCCGCTCCTGGTGCGGGCTCCGTCTCGATGTTGTTCCTCTCTTTAGGCGGCGTCCGGCACACGCGGACGCCGCCCCCTCGCGGCTGGCCAAACTAATGCGGGTGGAGGGGAAACCCACCCCCGCGGGTGGTGTGGTGGGAGGGCCACACTCAGGGCGGCATGAGGCTGTGGTAGGCGGGCCTCCGCCGCCCGGTTCGCCGGCGGCGGATCGGGTCCGAGTGGAGGTCGTCCTCCCGGGCCCTCTCCGCCGCCTCCTTCCGCGAGATTACTACCTCGCAGAAGGTTGCGACCGCGGTAAAACAACTGTCGCTACCGGCCATGGAGCGTACTACGGCCGGTAGCGAGAGATCCACCCCGATGACTGCAGTGAGGGCCCGGCGCTGCGCCGCCCATGCGGGGCAGACCGCCAGCGTGTGCTGGGCCGAGTCCTCACTGCAGTCGCAGTGGTGGCAGGCGGGACTCAGTTCCCTCCTAGCGACCGTGTGCAGGTACTTGCCGAAGCAACCGTGCCCGGAAAGCACCTGCGTCAGCCAGAAGGAAAGGGTCCCGTGCTGCCGCCCTGCCCACTCGGCGATGACCGGCTGGAGAGCCTCCACGGCGGCGAAGCCAGCGCGTGGAGTCTCCAGCCGGAACGACCAACGAGCCATCGTGGCTCGGCGAGCGGCTTCGCGCCACTCGCGCACATCCTCGGGCGGAGGGCGAAATCCGCTCTCCGCCCGGTAGTCAGCCACTCGCCGATAAACTTCGGCGAGCACTTCCGCCTCCAAATCCCACGGGGGAGTTCCGGCCAACGCGCACGCCACCTCCGTCGAAACGGTGCGGTAACCGCGTATGGCTCTGACCGCCATTACCCTCTGAGGGCGCCAGAGGCGTACCCTATTCTGGGCGGTCAGAGCCGCCGCCCACACCGGTGCACCGTACAGTGCCATTGACCGGACAACCCCCGTGTACAGCCGTCTTGTCGCGACGCTGGGTCCACCCATATTGGGCAAAAGTCGCCCTAGGGCAGACGCAGCGCCGACCAGCTTTGGAGCAAGCTGTCGGAAGTGCTCGTCGAAGAGCCACCTCCCGTCGAGGATCAGGCCCAGATATTTCATCTGGGCCCGAACCGGTACGAGGACCGAGTTGACCACGATTGAGGCGCCAGGGGGTGGACCACGACGGGGCCCATGGAATAACAGGGCCTCCGTCTTATCTAGGGCCACCCGTAAGCCCAGCGCCTCAATGCGCCCGACCACCAGGGAGACTCCCCCTGTGGCCAGGCGCGCCGCCTCTTGGAAGTTTGCCCCCCGGGCTGTCACGAGGGTATCGTCTGCGTAACAGATTACACCCAGCCCGGGGGGGAAATCGGCGCGAAGAGCCCAGTCGTACCCTATGTTCCACAAGAGGGGTCCAAGAACAGACCCCTGTGGAACACCGCACGACATGGGCCGACTCCTCAAATTACCTTCTCGGTCCTCGTACACGACGGTACGCTCCTCTAAATAGTCTGCCACCAGCCGCCTCAGGTACTTTGGCACCCCATGATAGTGGAGTGCTTCCCTGATGCAGCTGAATGGCAGACTATTGAATGCGTTGGCGATGTCCAATGACACCGCCAACAGCACGCCGCCACAGCTCACGGCCTCTTCGGTCACGGCCCTCAGGCGCAACACAGCGTCGACTGTCGAACGCCCAGCCCGAAAACCAAATTGGGCGTCCGACAGATCGGGGCCCACCTCGCAGAGGTGCCGGACGATGCGGGCAGAAAGAACCCTCTCAAACAATTTGCCCGCCTCGTCCAGCAGCACGATGGGCCTATAGGCCGCGACCGAATCGGCAGGCCGTCCCGGCTTCCTCAATAGGACCAGCTTCCCGCTCTTCCAGCACTCAGGGAAGCGTCCCGACGCCAAGCTAGCGTCGAACACCTCCCCGAGGCGGTCTGCCATGTGGTTGAGGGCCAGGGCCAGCACTCGGGCCGGTACCCCGTCTGGCCCAGGGGCGGTGTTCTTGGAACGAATCCGTAGAACAGCCGCCCCTACCTCCGAATCCCGGACGGGCGGAACATTGTCCTCCCCGTGCTCCCCGTCGTCTCCGGCCAGGGAGGCCATCGACGGGGGAGTGTGTTCCGCTCGTTGTGGGAAAAGGCCCTCAACCACTTCTCGCAGGAAGCTGGGCTGGAGAGTCTCCGTAAGGGGGGGGCCCGACGCGCGGAGCTTTTGTCGCACCGCGCGGTAAGGGCGACCCCAGGGGTCACGATTAAGACCCTCCAGCATCTCCTGTCTTTTTTCTTCTTTGGCGCGGCTAATGGCCAGCTTCAGAGTTTTCCGCGCCCGTCGGTACTCCTCATGAAGCCGGTCCTCCTCACCGTCTCCACGGTGACGCCGCCGACTGCGCGTGTAGGACCTCCGGGCACATGTACAGGCCGCACGGAGGTCCGCCAGCTCCAAACCCTATACCAACCCGTCTGCCCAGCATACTATAGTAGGCCAAAACCTCCTTTCTAAGGAGAGGCCTATGTCCAGCAGTGGACTAGTAAAGGCTGATGATGATGATGAATTTAATCACATTTTTTTGTAACATCTTTATGGGCAAGTTTCCCTGATATAAATTATAAATAAATAAAAACTGTTGCCTTTATAACAATTCTTTTAAGGAATCCCCATTTCAACAGGCTCTGGTTGACCTAAAGATCTTGGCGAATGGCTTTCATAAAATTTAATTTCTTGATATTTTTGTTGTCTCTACTTTTCTTACAACAATAAGTTCAGCTTAAATGCAGTAAAAACATGATTTATTCTTGGTAATACATTTTTATTATATTTAACAAACAATTTCATCACCACGCTGCTTATAAGAAATATACAAATTAGAATACAATACTACTACAGCGACTCGGCTTATCGCTAGGGAGTCAGAATTTCCAGGTAAATCTGAAAGGCTAGGAATAGACTTAAATTATAGAGGCGGAACAACATTTAACGATATTGAGAATAAAGTTATTGAAAATAGTTTTTTTTTGTTCATTAAATGCAACACACATTACAATCAATTCAATCATAAATACACCGTTTATATCTGGATCGTAACGTTACTTAAATGTGCACAAAAAAAAACAATGAAGATTATACAAAAATTATCTCTGATTCATAATACTGTGAGTAAGATGACAATAAGTAACAAAGGAAGCAAGCAGCCAATGTGATGCAGATCTGAATGCTGATCAATGCTGATCAACTCACTGTGGAGGATGTCTTTCACTAATTTACTATAACTTTATCATTTATCAGAAAATATACCAAAGTCAGACACGGCTAGTATTTAATCTATCTATACAAATAAATAAAATTGGAGTGTCTGTTTGTAATATTAAAATAACCGCTTTTTACTAAATGCCTATGTATGTTTACACGGCACATATGCCAAAATATTTTTTTTAAAATTTTTGTCTGTCTGTCTGTCTGTCTGTTTGTTCCGGGGAATCTCTGGAACGGCTCTACCGATTTCGACGGGACTTTCACTGGCAGATAGCTGATGGCATAAGGAGTAACTTAGGCTACTTTTTTTAGACTAGCTTCGCCCCGCGGAGTTGCCCGCGGTTATAACAACAAACGAGGGTAACACCGCGGGTCTCAGCTAGTATCTAAGTAAATTAGCAGACCGGTCATCTAATAGTATGTGATTACCGCCACCCATCATCATCATCCTCAGCACAACTAATCTGTTGAACAAGTTATCGTCTGTGGTATTTCCGGACCGATAAAACCTTCAAGAAAAGAGCGTACTACTTCTTAAAAGGCCGGCAACGCGTTTGTGACTAAGTTGCAGACGTTCACGATCGGCGGTGGTCACTTTCCATCAGGTGAACCGTCTGCTCGTCTACCCCCTCTTACATAAAAAAAAGATGGAAACCTGCAATTCAAGATAAACAATAAAAGCGTTGCAGCCCTTTGAGTGCCAAGTTTGAACCTCCGGTAATCTAACCAACCACCAACAGCCTATAACAGTCCACTGCTGGACATAGGCCTCTCCTTAGAAAGGAGGTTTAGGCCTACTATACCACGCCGGCCAAACGGGTTGGTATAGGGTTTGTTTCAAGTTTCTAAGACTCTCAGAGAAAACCAATAAAAGAATTCCTTAACACTATTTTTTTGTGAAATCACTATCACTGGTCGTGCCGAACATGAACCGATACCTCACACCCCCATAGCCAAATAACTACCCGCTTATCGACTTGTTGAGTGTTTTAAAAGTACATACAACGATAATACTCTCTTTTAAAATATTAGTCATTCTTATAAGAAGTTGGTATACGTAACACAACTAATACAGTATCTTGAAAGTTTCAAAATAAAATAAGAACTTGTGCTGTTTAATAGATCATCTTTAAAGAGTTCTCTAGTTTTTAGCATCGCGATTGTAATTATGAAATACCCGCTTGCTATCAGATACCGATACGTAATGCGACCCGACCTTTATATTTTCTTCTAAATGTACCCACATTTTAATTTTAGTTATGTGATTTAGTACAATGCTTGGTGACACCGTCAAATGCGCTCGTAGATTATAAGTTTAATTTTAAGTTCATAATTTGTAAATCTCAATATAAGTGAATTGTATTCTTTTGAGTAATAAATATCTTAAACCAGAATAGGGGGGCAGGGGCGGGGAGTTAATTATTAGAGTTCGTCGACCCCCGAAATCAGTTTTTGTTTATGTTAACCCTTGCGAAACCGATTTCGACACTAAGGCATCGATATCTACAATTTTGAGAACCCCAGGACTAGATCATTAGAAAGTCAAAACCCCCATCTTGATAAGCCTCTGAAATCAGTGTACCTGCCAAAAAGATTTACAGGAGCCTTGAAAGGTTCCACCCTCTATTATGTCGTAAACGATCTATTAACACAGAATAAAGGAATCTTCTAGGGTAATGGAGTCATTACGATGGTAAATTACCTATTATCACGGACCAAGGAGTTATATTTACATGTAAAAGTAATATCTCGTGTCGTTATCTGAAGTAATATTAGAATTGAGTGTTTGTTTAACTTACCTAACTTTAGTTTTACAGTTTTCTTTTCTTGGTAGTACGTAGGTAGGTATATGTTGTCTTTAGGTAGGTTTATGTGACATTCTAAACTCATTTTGAATGGTTAATTATTTAGTTGAGAAAATAGTAATCTCTGAAATGTAAGCGTGAGCGTCTTGACGTAAGCGTCGTAACCGACGATGACGTGGTTTGCTATGGATTTATATAGTGGATATAATAATATTCTACCACATTCACACAACGCCATCTAGTCCCAAACTAAGCAGAGTTTGTATTATGACTACTAGACAACTGATATAAATATATATATATGTCTACTTTTTTTTTGTAAATACATACATATTATACATAGACACTTAGACCCAGTCGAACATTAAATGTTCATGCACACAAATGTTTGACTTGATCGGAAATCGAACCGTCCGTTACACAAACCACTACGCCATCCAGTCGTCGATATGACTGGCCGAACCCAAACCCAAACTTTTAGACCAACGAAAAGTTTTGGCCCATGAAATACAGTATAGTTAACTACCTGACTTACAGGTGTACTTTTATATGCTTTTTGGGTCTTGTTTTTATAATCTTACATACATAACATTAGTAAATAAATTTTCCCCTTTCCAGCCTAATATGCCATCCTCCGGGGTTTCTCGTATCTCGTACATTGACTTGTTTTCTTATATATAACGATAATAACATTAAATAGAGCCACCTTACACATGGCTGCCTGATTCCAAAAATAGGCTGAGCCTGTGCAAAGACAACCAGACTGCTAATAAGTGTACTTATAATTAATATTTGAAAGAAATTATTTGTACCACTTATCAAATAAACAACGCACGGAAACATAATAATGTATGGAATACCTAATATAAAACGTAAGCCTAGTGGTTAAGGCATATAGTTAAAAAATATGTAAAAACGGGTAAACAAAATCGTAGGTGTCCAGTGTATGTTGCCGCGTCATGGTGCAAAAATCTATAGAATGACAGTTCAACTTATAGCGAAAATTCATATAAAATAGTCAACGTGGTCGAAGGTCAACCGCCAGAGAATTTTACTTTGTTTCAAAATAAAAACTTTTTTAAATAAAACAGTAAAAGCTAGGCTTAATTTAGAAAAGATTGTGATTTGGGTAAGAATCATGATTAACAAAATTTAATCGACGTTGTATAGTTTTGTTATTCGTGTGGTGACGGATTGTCAACACCCCTATTCATCCCGTGGGTGTCGTAGAAGTCAACTAAGGGAACAAACTACTGAGGACAACAACTCTGCGAAAAGAGAAGGAAAACTTAAAACAGACCTATACCAACCCATTTGGCCAGCGTGGTATAGTAGGCCTCATTTCTACGGAGAGGCCTATGTCCAGTCAGTGGACTACTTTGATGATGATACCGCTGAAACTAAATTAGTTTCAGCGGTAACGAAACAATAGCATCATTAAGAAGATCGATTCAACGCCATCTATCGGACTCAATACAGACATGCATCAGACAAGACAGTAGAACAGTTAAGACTCAGATACGTGAGCTTGCTTAAGGTATATCGCGTACGTAATTTATTTTGAATGAAGAGTGTTAAAGTGTATATTTGTTTGTTTACCAAAATTCTTAAGTAGCAGACAAGTTTCCCTCGCGGCGTTATCTTTATTGTTTGTTGTCGTGGCGAGCTTAACTTGGTATTATGCTAAATTTAACAGAAGGTCAATGGAAATTTATCACGGTGTTAACAATTTGACAAAACAAATTGAAATGTATTCGATCAACAATCAGTCATCACTAAGCATTATACATATATACATATACTCACACCTATGTCGTTGAAGGAGTAGGCAGAAGGGTATGAACCGCCTACTTTTTGTCCACTATAATTTAAATCCTACTTATATGATAGGAACGAACAACTGAGCACTCTAGGAATCTCTTCTTCCTCCGAGCCTTTTTCTAGGTTGCGGTCGGCTTTAAGTTTACTAGAAGCGACTGTCATCAGACCTTCATAACCCAAGCCGATATCGAAGTTCTGTAGAAAGACTGTTATCAGAATTATTTTTGGGGCTCCAACTATTCGCAGCGATGTTGGTATGGGAACCGGAACCGACGCCGATGGTTTAACGTGCTCTCCGAGGTACGGAAAGGCCTCAATGTATTAAGAATGGTCACTCATCTAAAGACTGACCTGGTTAGGATCGCTTAACTTTGCAATGTGTTAACCACTTCGACACGAAAGGCTAACTGGGCACTATAGGGATCAGATGCGAGTTTATTGAAAGGATAAGCAAGAAGGGTATGTATTAGACTTTAGATCCTGGAATTGCCAGACGTTTTGACTAGGTTATACTGGCTGTGGCAGCAAGTTGACTTATGAGTTGGTATCTATAGCAAACCTATATAAGAAGGTGAATAGAAGAGGGCTTTAGAGCTCTGGTTACCTCTCACTAAGGGCTCTTCTACAGTAAGATTCTATAACAACTCGTAGAGATCCTCATTCTTGTAGAATATACTTAAGGGCTTTTCATTTATACTATTATTAGACTATCATAGACTATTTTATAGACTATTATTTTAAAATACTTTATTTTAATTTTCAGGTATTAATTTTTGTTACCGCACCTATTGAATGACCGTAGCGCTTTTATATTACAAACTGAGCAATATTTCTGTTATTTTTTTGTAAATCTATTCATTTATTGGTTTTAAAGGATAAAAGCAGTATACACAATATAAAAATCATGTATTATTTTGTTTCCCTGATTCAATACTTCTGCAATGCAAGTAGTCCTATTGTGACATAGATATGGTTTGAAAGAACGTACCAAAACTGAACATTTTACATCAGAATTTCTTTTTTAGTTTTCAATGCAGCAAGGTTGGGTCTAAGTAACAAAAGATACTGTAATGCTAACTTTAAATATTCGCGTTTCGTGAAAATTAGGTTTGTATATTGGAATTAACGCGATCACGTAAATCGTGGTTGACCCTTATGGGATAGACCAAATGAGCAGAAGTCTGTTCATTTGTACCGAAGCATTGCTACTTAATAAATTCTTTTATTCTAAAAAATATTTATTTTCACATTTTTGATATTAAAACAACATTATAAAAATACCTCATATTGTTAGTGTTAAAGTGAAATTTTAATAAAAATACTCACAACAAGTCGATCCTTGCTGCCAGGGTATGTTGGTCCAAAATCATAGGGAGCTACAGAGCGTCTGTCCGCTGATCCGACCAAAGGCCATAGCCGCAGCACCTCTGAAATAGCATATACCTCGAGTTTACAAGTACATATTCTAAGCCTACACAGGTTGCTTCAAGACCTTCATCATCATCAACAGCCTTTAATAGTCCACTGCTATACATAGGCCTCTCTTTAGAAAAGAGGTTTTGGCCTACTATACCTTAATTTATTTATTTTAATTTTATGCGGAATACCAACAGCATAAATAACGTTAAGTAAACATAATAGTTATGCAAGAACGAAGCTACTTATACAGGTACGAGTATTGGCAAATAGATTTAAAGTGTGAAACAACAGTACAAATAACTTACTAACAAGAAAAAAAAAGTACTTTTGAAAAAAATAACAGAAATAGGCATAACAGATAATATTTTTGGAAACAAAGAAAATAAAAAAAAACTTAGACCAAGGGAATGCCACGCTCCTGGGATTTGACGGACCTGTTGACCTCTAGTGGTCAGTGACCCTGACTGCTAAACCGGAGGTCGTGAAATATTATTAATTTTCTTTTTTTTTTACTCTTCAACTTCGTTTTTGAATACTTTGTCTTTGGCTTTACTGTGTTAATCAGGAATAAACCAAGTAAAGTGCATAAGGAGGGAAGGAGATACATTATCTATTCAATTTACATTTTTAACGGAAGAAAGAGAAGATGATGATGGTATGCTTAAAAGACTCTATCTCATAATTTCTATATCTGCATAATTTCTAGAACTTACCATTTACACACATCTCCAAATACTCCAACTGTGTAACGACTTCATACAGATCCTTAATTTCTTCATCAGGTGGTAAGCTATTTAATTCGTCGTACAGCTTCTCTTGGAGGTGAGGGTTTACTGCCATTTCGTAGAGGAAGTAGTATATTAGGTTAGCGGTTGTGTCGTACCCAGCTATGTAAAATAATACTGCCTGTGCTACGAGATCGTCGTCTGAGAGTTCTGAAAAAAGGTTTTGGATATATACATATACTTAAAACTCATTAGTCTTAGTGTGGTACCCATAAAAACATAGGTCATCATAGTTGTTTTGTTGACACGGTGGTCAGGCCGTGTCATTGACCCAACTTTGGTACGGGACATGATGATCAGGCAGTATACGCTGTACAATTGGAAATACTTTATTTTAATCGGTCATAAAAAGCGTATGACACACATTTTGTCCGGCTGGCCTTTTCACTCACAGGACGAACATACGGTTATGAATCTGACACCTTTCTCTTCGAGCTATGACAGCATCAGAGTCGTTTCTTCATCCGATTCCTGCCTTTATGAAAATTAAATAGTTAAAATTGTGTAAAATTATCTTAGTTGTCATCTTGTTGTGTGTGTATTTAGATCTGGTTGGTGTTTGCAATCACGTGAGGCACGGTTTTACCTATTTATAATGAATTTTTATATAGTAATTGTTAAAAAGTAAAAAGTGTTGAATAATTTTGAAACTAAATTATCAGTTATGAAACTGATATTTAAGTTACGATTTAACTTATATTTGTAATAAGTTTCGACAACCTTATTAAGCAAAACGTCGTTAACAACCACTAGCACAGCGAGGCGTTATTTGAGGTAAACTCTTTCAACTAACTTTAAGTCAAAAATAGTTTTAAATCAAAAACCATTCGATTGCAAACGTAAAGCATAGCTTTGTGTTGATTTGGGTTTTGGTGGACGTTTTCATTCTCCCATCCTGATATTCATTATAAAACCTGTTCAGTATCAATATTAAGACGAAACTTGCAAATTACCAATAAAAGTATCAATATGTTTTATTTATCATCAACAGCCTTTAATAGTCCACTGCTGGACATAAGAATCTCCTGAGAAAGGAGGTTTTGGCCGTATAGTAGGCCAAAACCTCCTTTCTAGCCACGCGGGCCAGACGGGTTGGTAAAGGGTTTGTGTCAAGTTTTCCTTCTCTCTGCAGTGCTGTTGTCCTGCTTAGTTTTTTCCCTTAGTCGGCTCTTACGACACCCACGGGATGAATAGGGGTGGTGACACTCTGTATTCTTAATCCGTCACCACACGGACCACCGTTTTATTTATACCACTTGAATATACACACATTCAAAAGATTCACACGCAAATATTGAAAAAAAGAATCATCAAAATCGGTTCACCAAGTCAAAAGTTCTGAGGTAACAAACATAAAAAAAAATACAGTCGAATTGAGAACCTCCTCCTTTTTTTGAAGTCAGTTAAAAAAACACTAAATGGTTTTTACTTTAATATTTATTCGTTTGATGGCACAACAAAAGTTAATAAGGCAAATCGGCTTAAATATCTCTGATATTGTAAATTAATATTGTTCATTAAAATAAGCGCCGTATCAAAACTCTCTAATGCTTTGCTTGATATGGTTGCTTTATACAATAATTGACGAACCTGTTAGTCTAGTGGTTAGTGATTCTGACTGCAAAGTGAGAGTCTTGGGTTCGATTCTCACCCAGGTCAAATAATTGGGCAATGATCACGGTCATTTGTTCTGTGTCTAGGTGTAATTTTATCTATAGTTATATAATTATATTCATTTCATACACGGGATTTAACGCGACTACGTAATAGGTAATTTAGAATTGCCTAACGTTTCGAACAGAACGCATATTCTCATAATAAAAGTTTGGTTACAATTCAGTTCTGAACAACTCTGTATGTCACAATTGTCATTAAAGGTATTTCCGTAGTAAAATAGTAAAGTATTACTAAGACTAGCAGATTACCGATTCAATTTTCGGTTACAATACGATATAATCATATTACAGTCAAGGTTGGATGTTTAATACTTTACTAAGAAAATACCTTTTAGAACAGTTGTGAGATCATAAGTTGATCGGAACTGAGAATTGGCTTTCTGGTTGCACTAGCCGTGGTTAAAGTATGACTCCTCTAGGCAAGACTTAAAGCGATCACACAATAGGTATTATATACAGAGGGCCTAGTATGCGGCGTAACACAATAATATATCATGGAACGATACTTTTAAAGTTAGTAATAAAATATAAAAATTATCGAGGACAGGACACTTATCTCTGAACGTGCAAAAACAACTAACACTTTCTCCACATAAAGCTTTAATAAGTCACCTTGAAATCTCTTTGCGAAGCATCCATTCACTCACACTTCAGGTATAACGTATTAACACCAACACACACACACACACACACACACACACACACACAGACACAACAAACGACAGAAGTTACACATATCCGCGCCTCCAATCCCCTTTCCCTCAAATTACAACGCAACATAACAGTAAAACAGTGTTCGCAAGCAAATATTTTCTGGTTTCTGCTAACGAATGACGTAATCCCAGCATACGATTGTTACGTCAAGACCATGTCATAATTAAATTGGGCCCGTGTCTCGTCAATCAAATTCAGAGACTGTGTTGAGGGCGTGCCTTGTGGAGAACAACGGCTGACAAAATTTGTTCAATAGTCATTTACAGAGGAGTCAAGATAAATGGTTTAGCTCTGATTTGTTGGACTTTGATTAAATTTGTTTTAGTGTTTTTTTTTATGATTTACGGTACGAGCAGAATGAGCAGCCGGGTGACAGGGCATGGCGAACAGTACAGTTATGCATGCAATATGCATTATTGGTATGAAAAAAAGACTATCTACAGATTATGATTTGTAAGATTTTATATACGATGTGATCATTATTTTAGCTAGGCTGCTAGTAAATCCCCAGTAATACCAGTTTTATGCGATCTAGCATAGATTTATTATGCATTTTGTGTCAAAGTCCGTGTGGTGACGGATAGCCTATGTGGTGACGGATAGTAGATTCTTAATCCGTCACCACACGGTGACGGATTAAGAATACGGAATGTCACCACCCTTATTAATCCGTGTCGTAAGAGCCGACTAAGGGAGCAAACCACGCAGGATAACAGCACTGCAAAGAGAAGGAAAACTTGACACAAACCCTATACCGACTCGTCTGGCCAGCATGGTACAGTAGGGAAAAACCTCCTTTCTAAGGAGAGGCCTACGTCCAGCAGTGGACTATTGAAGGCTGTTGATGATGACAATGATACCAGGTTTCTACGAGGCCTTAGTATCTTGCGTATTATTTAGTATGCATTTTATGTCAAAACTTGCAACGCAACCAATTATTTCATAGAATAATGTGTACAATATATGTTCACAAAGAGATATGAATTCCAGGTAAATAATAAAAAAAATATCTTACTCTCTTCGTTATAAATGAGTTCATTTCCTTTATCTCCATCCAACTGCGATTTACCAGCACACAAAATGTTTTACAAATGAACAATAAGCTTAATATAAGTATTGCTACTGATGCTTGAAGTTCCCATCGAGATGGAGAGGATTATTTATTTATCCAAATGTTTACTCAGATATATGAACCCGATGTTTACATTTCTTTCTTTTGTTTACTGCCCAATATTTACCTGTTTCAATTCTACTTAGGCACGTCTCTAAATCGATATTGGAATACGATTATCGAAAATTGAATTCATACAAAAATATTGTAATCTTCGATCAACAGTTGCTATTGTTGATCGAAGATTGTAATACATTTAAGTCAATGCTCACGTTTTTCATGTGATTTTCACGTTTATCATATTACTAACTACCAACAAATTATCAGAATAGGTATAAATGCTAGTAAAGAAAATAATTATATTAAAATAACTTTTCTTTCTTTACTTTTTTTTATAAAAGACTACTCCCGCATTAGGAATATATCCTGTGTCGCGGGGGACTTTACAAACATACATGAAACGGACACAAAGAACACACACTCAGAACAACAATTTATGAATCACACACAGTGTCGTCCCATGTGGGGTTTGAACCTACAACACTCGGCGTAGTAGGAAGCGGCGTGGCGACCGCTTAAACCACTACACCATCCGTGCAATCGGTAGATATATGTACTTCCAATAATTCCATTAATCTACTTCGTCATCCAGAAATATTTTTTTGGTATTTAGATCTGTATCTTATATATATCTGTATGTACGCTTTGGTTATTTTCTATTTATATGAATAGAACATACGAGCATTGTTAATATAATTTCGCTCTATTCTTATTAAGGACTAGCATTAACACAATGGGAGAGGCCTATGTCCAGCAGTGGACTGTGATAGAGTGATTATGATCATTAACTCAATACGGTAAGAGCACAAAATTATAAAAATGACAAATTCACAAACGCGGCTAGATTATAATCATAATAAGATTATATAACTTTGGTAGCTAATCAGTCAGAAACTTAAAAAAGTCAAATGACACTGAATGTCAAATGGAACGTTTTATTTGACTTTGCAATCTACAATTTAAATGAACTTTTTGTCTTCGTCTGATTTCAAGCTAGGCAATGCCTATAATAATAATATAATAATAATATTCTAAAACATTCATACAACACCATCTAGTCCTAAACTAAGCAGAGCTTGTACTATGGGCACTAGACAACCGATATAAATACATTTATACTTTTTTTTTCGTAAATACATACATATCATACATAGAAACATTCAGACCAAATCAAACATTAAAAGTTCATACATACAAATGTTTGACTTAAGCGGGAATCGAACCCGCGACCTTTAGAATAGCAGTCCGTTACACAAACCACCACGCTATCTCCTGCTAAACATACTAATATATTTTTAAATACACACATATTACAGAAGAAAATCGCGTATATCACACAGCTATGTGCCCGCAAACAACTACGTCTAAGTTAGCAGTCAGGATCTGTAACCATTAAATCAACAGGTCTTAGATTACCTGCACATTTTTTTACCTTCGGTGGCATCTACGAGTGTCTGAATAAAATCAGGTCTCGGCGGTACCAGCTTTTCTCGTCTCGCCTTCAAAGCCGATTTAAATAGTCGAGAGAATTGGTCCGCGTCTTCCGTCGGGATGATCTTAACTTGTAGCAGCTAAAAAAATAATACTTGTCTATTAACTTATTACTTTAAATCCTGTTTAAACAACAATAATGTACACAGTATTTAAGGTTTCTTTTTTGTTTTTAGTTTCTGGGATTTGAATTCAGAAGGAGTTACTTGATTTATATTGAAACTCATCCAATTTAACCTCTTCAATAAAATCAAATGAAATGTCTATGGTAATACCTTCATGATACTCTTCATATTCTCGTAACCGAAGAACTTCATGACCTGATTGGTGTCCTGTATGACTGCTTTCTTTCCCAACCTGTATATGATGTTGTCAGGCTCTGTGAAAGAGTTCACGGCGAAGCCAAAGGCACACGATGCAATGACGTCATTCACGTATGACATGGTTATCTAAGAAACACAGTTGAAAGGAGATTGTTTGATTTCTCTTTTATAAATACTCATTTTAATATTCATATTGAATTGAAATAAGAATTGATTGTATTTAAAAAAAAAACTATTTTGAATCTTTGGTCTCGTTCAAATTTGAATACAGAAATTCCAATTCTGAAGGTTAGGGAACATTAGGGAGTGAAGAATACAGTTTATTTATTACAAATGAAACATGATGTATACCGTGATACTATTTAAAAGTTAATTAACTATGTTATCATTTTTTATCTATATGTGTGGTGAAGGATTAATAATACGGAGTGTCACCCTATTCATCCCATGGAACCAACAAAAGCATTGCAAAGAGAAGGAAAATTTGAAACAAACCCTATACCAACCCGTCTGGCCAAAAAGTGTGGTATAGTAGGCCAAAAACTGACTAAAACTGTGACTTCTTGACACTGCAAAAAATGTTTAAAGAGACCGTATTGGAGAAAACAGTTAAAGTTTCCAAGACTTTCTATTCTTCGCTTTTTTAATTCTGCGTAATTACAACATAATAATTTTTGAAAATAAACTATATTATATTGTTTTCATTATGTCATGTGCTTGATTAAAATAATTCAGTATTTAAGAACAATTAACAAAGATGAATTTCTGCAGGAGGTGAATGACCCAGAAAACCTAAAGAATTAAAAGGACGAATATTTACCAAAATAAATAAGTTAGGCGATTTTCGATATGTTAACTGTAAAGCTGTTAACGAAAAGTCTTCGATTCGGTATTTAGGGTGGAAAATCTGTTGTCTGATTTGTCTGTTCAGAAATTATTAGCAGATAGTTTGGAGTCGTTGGGTATTAAACATCTGCGCACGACTAAATACGAGTATAAAATTTGAAAAAGTTTTTGAAGTAAAAACTAAGTGCAGGTATACAGTTTACTTACAGTATTCAGGTCCATAGCTTGTTTGCCTTTTACAGTTTCCGTAATAAAGTTAACAACGGCGGATGCGCTATCCGCCATCAGCGGTGCCATACCACGACAACGTGCAGCTGAGAAAGCCGGACTCAATGATACTCGCATAGAACGCCATTTTGAACCTGTTAAGTAAGTTAAGAAAACTGTTAAGTTAACTGTTAAGAAAAAAATATGTTATTAGTTTTGAGTAAAATCTACATTCATTGTATTATAGTAATTTACACTTGTAATCACACATTACACGTCTGTATGTGTAGTATTATATAATTAGAAAACAATCGACAGAGCCTTACAGTAAGCATATATGATTTGTAACACCTGGCATCTCAACATACCGACGTGAACCTACTCCTAACACAAGCTTAGCCTAACCTTAGCTAAGGGGGGGGGGGGGGTTAACGGGAATACTAGTAATTTCTGTTGTTAGTAGACCTATCAAAAAAAAAGACTCGACTGCGAAAAGACAATTTAAAAGTGATGCACTAAAAAGACCGAAACAGCAAGAGGTTCAACGCAAACATGCTCAAAGCCCATTTTTACGCTGTCAAAAACTTTTTAAACTAATTTATTATTCCTTATTAAATTTAAATCCTCCTCTTAATTTTTTTATTTTTTTTATTAACCTATTATTATTTAGCGCCAAAAGCCGCCATTATGCTTTTGTGTTTTAAAAAGCCTTCTAAGGACACTTGGGTTTTTGAGACGGATTAAACAATACCTAAATAAATACTAAATTTCCTTATTACCTCGTATCCTCTAAATGGTCAGGACAGTTACCTGACCATTTAGAGGATACGAGGTAATAAGGAAATTTACAAACAAATATACAAATACGCACAAAACCCTTCGTTGGCAGTCGGGTAAAAATGTCTGTGCCCGCGTTTTTTCGGTAACTTGTTACGTTACGAAATTTAGTTATTTTCTTATGCTTTTGTCATCGAAATCCATTAGTTTAAAGAAACTAAAATTAAAAACACGCTTTTATAGAAAATTCAACTAAAAAACAGAAAATAAAGTTTATAGTGTCAATAGTTATAAACATTTATTGTCAGATGAGTAGAAAAATCATCACTTTGATAATATCATAAAAAAAAGACCTTCAGATGCACCCCACGCTTTTTTACAATAATGTACATTCATTTTTTTTTACACTGTACTTAATCAAACTTAATCAAATTTACACTATTCTTAATCCAAATTTATTAAACTTTATTTTCTGTTTTTTAGTTGGATTTTCTATAAAAGCGTGTTTTTAATTTTAGTTTTTTTAAACTATTATTTATTTTTCATTTTTTTAGTTAAATTTTTTGTGTTTTGGTTTGTTGTACTACCATATTAGTTTTTATAAGACAGTGACTAATCAGATAAATGGGGAAATTGGGTGCCTGCTGCCTTCCTTGGATACGGTAGTCGTTTCTCAGGTCCCCTCTCCGAAAATTTAATCTTCTTAACAGTTGGTGACCCTATCGACTGCAGATCCAAGCTCATGCTGGTAACTGAATTATATGCCGCAAAATAAATAGATATTTCTGTCCTTAATATTTTGTTTTGTTGTGAATACGAAGTTTTTTCTGAAAATCACGGTTATAAATATATTATGGATATTATAAAATGATAATAGAATGCGTATTAGATTTGTCGGGACATATATGTAAGTATAAGGAACAAGACGCAACTACCATATTAGTTTTTATAAGGTTGTGCTGAACTGAGTGCCCGAAAGAGCAAGTCTGGAACTGCACGCATGCGTAGTTCGCGCACTAGCTCTGTCTCTCTTACTCGCATGCAAAGGATGCGGAAAGAAATTAATTAATCCTGGCGAATCTAATTAGGATAATCGGATATTTTGATCGGATTATTGCATTGTCATCGACCTTTGACAGGTGTGCAAAGTTTGAATCAAATCTGATCGTTCAAAGTAGGGCTCAATCGAGCTCAAAGGAGTCGGTTACATACAAACAAACAAACAAACAAACAGGTGAAGCTAATAAAAGCGTGTTAAAAAGAGAGTATGATCATAATATTTGAATAATATGAATGTAACATATATTTTCATTCGAAAAGACGTGTTGCGTAATATACAATGTAGGCTTTACTTTGAATACTATATGTTTATATGTTTGAATGAGTTCAAAGCATTTAAAGGTTAGCTTATTGTGAAGTTGTGGTGCTTCAAATGTTATACTTTTTGCTGTAGTTTGTTTGTCCTTTTGGTAGAAAATGAAACTAGGGCGGCGAGTAGTGTGTTGAATTGGAATTACTATATAATTTATTTCTTGAAGTGATTTCAGAAAATGTGTATGTATTATGGCTACATAGCATTTATAGCAGTGGTGACGGATTAAGACTACAGAGTATCACCACCCCTATTCATCATGTGGGTGTCGTAAGAGGCGACTAAGGAAGCAACCTACGCAGGACAACAGCACTGCAGAGAGAAGGAAAACTTAAAAACAAACTCTATACCAACCCGTCTGGCCAACGTGGTATAGTAGGCCAAAACCTCCTTTCTAAGTAGAGGCCTATGTCCAACAGTGGACTAGTGAAGGCTTTTGATGTGATGTGAAAGATTATAGCAGTATTAGTATTCTACATATTTTATTTGTATAGTCAAAGTCAAAATATCCTTATTTAATCAAAAAGATTTAAATTGTTTGATATTGACTCTAAAGTCATAGCTCAACACACACAATACCTAATAAAAATCTGTTTTGACAAAAATATTAACCAAAATAAGTATTTACTTATTGAAAATATTGTGCCTGTGCCGATCTACAACCGTTTCCAAGATCTAAATATCGTCCCCGTATTACGAAGAGTATACTCGTATGTCACCCTCACTCTAAGGCCCCTCTCTCTATAACATATACAATACTTATCTCATGCTTAAAAAATAAATAACTTACCTGTCAACATAATGAGATTGCGTCCGAAGAGTGGGTCGCAATCAGCGTCGATGTGCACACCTCTGTCTGAGAACGAGTTGAAGTCACGCACCATGATTCGTCGAATAAGTTCTGGATCTCGAGGTATTAAAGTCGGTACCAGGTATTGGTACAGTCCAAAGTACCTGTTAATTCAATATGCTTGTGTATTTTGGTTATAACTTAACTAAGTAAACGCCATCTTCGCATATATTATACATTTGTGTGCATGATCATGTAATGTTTGGTTTGCTCTGGGTGTTTCTATGTAAAATATGTGTGTTTACAAAAAAAGTGTATCATATATGTATTTATATCAGTTGTCTAGTGCCCATAGTACAAGCTCTGCTTAGTTTAGGACTAGATACTTTGGCGTTGTACGAATGTGGTAGAAAATTATTATATCGCAGACTGCGACAAGACTACCCATCGTATCTTTTCTATTCGTTTTATTTTAAAAGACAACTCCCGCACTGGAAACATATCCTGTGTCGCGGCGGACACCCAAACTCAGAACAACGATCCAAAGTAAACCACCGACGATGGGCGACTTAATCGGCTCATCCGTACTATCATTATCTTACAAGATTGTTCAAACACGCCGAAATTATCAGGTATCTGTCAGGTCCTTTTAAATTTTATTATTTGTTTATGGGGGAAATAATGGTACCTAACTATTATTTTTTCTGTATTACAACTATGCCTATAGCTGTCCGACACATGACATACAGACAAAGGAGGCTGCAATATGTTTAATATTTTTGTCTTTATTAAAATACGCCAAGCAGTAATATTACACAACTTCATTTCAGATTTGGATTAAAGATCTTATAAAAAGTTATTAAAAAAAAAATCTTTAAAATTATGGTAATTTAAATTTATTTCACTCGATGTGTATTTCAAAAGGTGTGTTGTAATCAGATGCATTAAAGGGCGTCTTTTATAAAAACCAAAATTAACATAAAACAATCATAAGTTTTGTTAATATAGTCTTATTATAATTAAAATTTACTACATCCAACAATATAATGTGTAATAAATGCAGTAATCTGAAACAAGTTTCCCTTACATCATAATGTTACTCAAGATATTGTATAGTTTTAGAAATCGCTATATTTAAAATAAATAAATAACGAATTACCTTTGATCTTTGAATGCATTATATCCAGCTGCTATAGCCTCCACGAAATTTTCCCGCCCAAAAGTGACAGCTGTCAAATTCCCGAATAACGGAATTGGCGGTAAAGTACGAACTCCTCTGGATGAAAAGTATTTTAAACGGTTTCGAGAATAGAAGTACAAACATGTCACCAGTAACACTAGGAGCCACCACATCACGACAGTTTTTATTCACAGTAACTTGTTTCAGATATGAAAAATAAAGAAAAAAAAATACTGGTCGATGACTTTTTAAACTCAAATTTTTCTATTGAACTCAAGGCACTTGTAATTTTTTATTTATTCTGTGGGAATCGATATTTTAAACGTGCTCGCGCAGTTTTAGTATGAGTACGTTTGACATTAGAAACTGACCGGCTTGGAGAAAGTCGAGTGGTCCGCGTGCTGACATTGAGAATAACAGACATTACATAACCCTACGTCATAATTCTGCGTTTTTTTATGTGATGACCCTGTTTCATAGTTATATTTGTTCATTATTAAGTACTACTAACTATCTAACTGACCGTCACAATATAGTAAGCAATGATATTTTTGATTAGATTAATTATTAAATATGAAATAGTGATTAGAACAATAATTTCAATAAAGATGAATGATCACAAATGTGAATGTATAAATGGACTCAATATTGGTGATTGTTTAAAAACCCTGTTACTTTTTTTAAAGATTATATCGTTTTATAGAGATTGCATTAAGTAATATCTGGGTGACTGGTCGGACTTGACATGGTCTTGCCAATTTAATATGCTATCCGGAGTGCGGCAATATTTTAATGATACCCAGAGATGTCGGCTTTGTCCTATTTTATTATATGCATGTGCTTTTTAAGCCGAAAGAGACTATCAATTCTTGTGATATAGAGGGACAAACGAGCAGACGGGTAAGCTGATCGTAAGTGACTGCTGCCGTCTGCAACTCAATCACAGAATGCCTTACCAGTCACTACACGGACAGAGTAATTTTAACATTTTGTATTTAAAAAATTCAAATGATATAAAAGAGTTATAACGCCTTATTTGCGAGGTTCTTTGTTAAGCTTTCTTTATGAATTTTAAAAATGCCCGTGACTACTTTTGATTTCATAATACTTTTTCTGAGGAGCCACGTTGTCTATGCATGTTACAAAATTAATCTTTTAATCTGAAGATCAACAAGAATATGTAAAATATCTCTAAAATATAATAATAAGGTAAATCATGTCATTGAAAGGTTTTATTAAGTTACTCAAGCGACAATCGTTTCACATTGTAAGTTAGTTTACATTGCATCAAACGTTCCGAGAATGTGAAATTGACTTCACGTATAGCAAGCAATGTACAACGAATAGTATTTGCTTTGAATAGTAGCTGGTATGGAGATATGCAATTGCATCAAGTAAACCAGAGATAGTTTATGAACACAATAAACGCGGAATGAAGTCGACTCTCGAGGACATGGATGAACGTATCTTGTAACTTATGCTGGTAATAAAGTAGGAAGACAGTTGTGAAGTTAGAACTGAATCAGAATAATACAATGCATTTTGAAATTCTGTTCTCACTTCACAATTGTCTTATAAATATATATTATTTTTAAGATGACTCCCGCATTAGGAATACATGAGATGGACACAAAACATACATTAGATAGACACAGAGAACACCCAGACTCAGAATAATCATTTGTGGATCACACAAAATGTTATCCTAAGTCCCACAACACTCGGAACCACTACGCCATCCGTGCAGTCGTACATACATATGTATATATTTTACAATAATTATTAGGCTCTGTTCCTAATCTTATGTGGTGTCGACGCTATGAGTAACATTGCAAAAGGTTTATTTTTTTAAAGCAGGCCTATCAAGGAGTAAAAGATAATTAGGTGAATTGGAGTAAAAGGGAGAGGAAGTTAGTACTTCCTCTCCCTTTTCGTTGGAACAGATCCTGCAAGGCACGGATGACGTGCATCAATGTTAATAACGAAATAAAAGTACGCATTTTTGTGCTATCGTATGCAAAGGATTCAAATTGTTTAACTGTTATATAAGCCCTTTTCTTAGTTCACAACATGTTGAAGCCAGCTGAATAAAGAGGGTGTATTCAATTCAAATTTGTGCATTGACTGAAAACCGTATATTACTGAACTGAACTGATGATAAACTGATCAACTGGCTGGCTGATGAAGACAGAGTTATTACGTCTACATCAAATGTTGTATTGGAATTCTTAAATAATGTCAGTTTAGATTATAATATTTGAGTGTGGAATCATGAAATTTATTTTGTAAGTTAAGGGATGTAAAATTATAAACAGATACTAATCGTAGCAAAAAGACTTAACACCTTTATGTAGATGATTTGCAGATCTATGCTCATGCCCGTGGAACAACTAGGAGCAGTGATCTCAATTATTAACCGGGATATTGAGCAGATTTGTATATGGAGCAGCAACACGGGTTAATAGTGAATCCATCTAAAACACAATCAATCATAAATAATCGGTGGCACTAGGGCTTTTTCTAAAGTCGATTGATCACATCAGCCCCAAATATTATGCGATGGAGGTCTTTCTCCATCCAGTGGTGGCCTGGTAGAGATCGAAAATCGCGATAAGGCCTCCGTGTACAACTTTTCATATTTTACTCTCTATGTTTCATTTATATAACTTTAGATTATAAGACTCACTCCAATGTATACAAACTGTTAAACTTTTACTATGTTTTTATTGCACAATAAAGAGTTACCTATCTATTATTAAAAAGTAAAACAATTTATAAGTAAAAGAAAAGACTAAGTCAATATTTTAAAAGAATGGAATTTTATATCAAAAGTCTAATGAACATCAAGGTTACTCTGAATTTTCTTGAAGTAATAAATAGAGGTGAAATTTTCTTTTATTAAAAAACTACTAACTAAACGAAAATACTTGAAAAAATCACTTTGTTCCTAAAAAGCTTTTTTGAAAGGTTATTTTTAAGAAGAGAGATAGTGTCAATCTATTTATAACATACCTTTTTTTTTAAGTATTAAAATGAGGGATACGAGTTAAAGATGGAAATTTAAAAATAATAACAATGGGTTGTAAAACTGTTGTTGACAGATAAACATACGAAATAAATAGATTTAGGAAGTTCTATGGAAGACTATTAGAAATCTTTAGTCGGCTACCTCCCCTCCTAACGATAGATTGACAGGCTAAAACGCAGTAGGCTATTGAAAAGCAAGTTAAAATAAAGATATATATTTTTTTTCTATGTTTTTCATGTATATATTATTGAAAACAGACGCATGTCAAACGCCTTCGTTTTGTGTTAGTGTTAGTAAGTTAACTTAGACCACTGTTTCTACTTTTAAAATTACAAGAAAAAGACTCCTGAAAAAGTTACGTAGATCATGAGGTTTACTTACACATAGCGCCCTCTAGTTTCAGACTAACAGAACTATGTTCTATGAAAGCTAGATTGACTGATAGCATACTTATACTTTTTTTTCTTGTAAATACATGGAAAATAACCAAACTTCGAAAAAAATATTTACAGGTACAAACATTTGGGAATCCGAGATTCGGATGGATCAAAAATAATGGATACAGAAATAACGCAAGTATTAGATAGGGAATGAAACTGTAGCAGGCCAAAGAGATCAGGGTCCTCCAAGACGTCACTGGCCGTAAACAAAAGGCCACTAAGATAAGTAAAAAATAAAACATTAGTGCACTTACAGAAAAGCATGAATCTGTAAAAAGTATAGTATCGATGTTGTCTGGAGTTTTTAGAAACTCCGCTTTGTTTGTTGGATGTTCAACTCACCTAGTCGTAAGAGGATATTTTATATGAATTTTCTCATTGAACCTATTTCAAATTTATTTCTTTTTTTTAATAGTAATAGAAAACTTCTTGTAGAAACCGGGAACCGCTTATATGCGGTACTGGTAAGCATAATTGTGTAAAAGAGATATCTATTTAGACTCTAAATAGATATCTCTTTTACACAACCATGCTTTTCATTTCTTCTTTCTTCATTTTCTTCATTCTCTAAATTTTAGAGCATACAAAGAGCTGTACCTGGAGTAATTAAGTTCTGAAAATTCATTATAATTTCTATTTGAATTCACTTTAAGGAAAATATATAAATGTTTTAAATTTAGTCAGATAAACCAAAACACATGTACGTGTAGGTAAATTCGTCGTTATTGGACTATTAAAATTTATTGTGTAATTGTGTAAATGAAATTTCGTGGTTAACGAAACAGACAGACAGACAGACAAAAAAAAATGGTTTTTAGGGATTAAAAAATCTATTATTTTGACATTACAAAGAGACACTTAATTTTTTTTATTTGTAAAGGTAACTAGTAAGTATTTCAGGCTTTTATACGGATTAGTTTGCAAGAAAACTTTGTACACAGATCATTGTGGTGGTGCTATCCATGAGATCGATTTCCATTTCCAATTTTTTTTTACTGCATACAGCATTTTTTTTAAATATATCTATAAACACACCGACACAAAGTTTGGGGTTTGCCGATCACAGTCATACTAGTCCAGTCATTTAAGCTTAAATTAGGTAAGAATCTCGGAATTCGAGATACCCAGCTGTAAGTCTGTAAATACTTGTATATTGACACCCTAAAAGTTGTCTCAAAACCTACGGTACCAATATGGTAGGGTGTAAGCAACTATTAAATTTCAAGGTCAAAAGTCATAAAAATCGGTTTATTGCGCTTTTTTTGGAAATATCTCATTTCCTATGGGTTTCTGCTATTTCTATTCATTATCAATATTGTAGAATACAAAATTCTCTACAAATTTTGTTCAAAAAAAATTTTTATACGGTGAACCGTTTTCGTGACAGAGGGCGGAGAGCGCGCGGTCACAGGATCACTTCAGCTCAACCGGTGCCTCCGGTCGAAAACGCGCCATATATAGTTGATGAACTATCGATAAATCAATGATTATAAATATTTGTCAATTTTTATTAACTATTTTATTATATTTTATCATTTTTTCCTAACTTATCCACTTTTTATTCAGTATTAATTTATTTAACAACACTTACCTGCCCATGTAATTGCAAAATTGTTAATGAAAATATAGGAATTATATTTGAATTTTAACCTAATTAATATTAATAACTTCTTACATGATGAAAAAAAACACAAATAAATTATGA